TTTGCCTGGTTTCTGCCATTCGGTTTCTTGGCCCTTTTCTCATCAGTGCCACAAAATTTCAACAAGGACACCTGAAGTGCATGGGTGGAACTCCTAGAGACGAGGTGACTGTAAACACAGGAAGAGGGATGAGTGCCCTCCTGCCTCGCAGTGCACAGCACCCGGTTTGCAGCCTGAGGAAGAAATGCTATTTCATTTACCTCAGTTCTTCACCGACACAAAGACAAGAGGCATAATGAGAGGAGATCATTAGGGACAAGACAGCAATGTTGGCTAATGTACTAGAACGGTCTTCTACTCAGCAGGGATTGAAGACCACCAGGACCCAGGGGGCTCCAACTGATGGAAAACATTTGTGACACCTCACTCATAATTTGGTCCTGCTAATCATAGCAGTGGCCTTCTCCTCCCCCGGCTGGGTCAAAGACCACATGATGGCCCAGCCTGCAGTACATAAAATCATTTCACCTAACTGGGTGGTGTTCTTACAGCCTAACAGACCCCTGTATCTGAGGAGAAAAATGTCACCTCCGACATCACATGGTAAGGATTCAGGGACCCTACAATCCCTTTCCCCTCAATGTAATCCTGGGTAGGTCCGACTGGGAGGGGTGCCAGCAGCTGAGCACTGCACAGCCCGGGGCCTATGTACAGCGGTGACAGTCAGGAAGCGCAAAGTGCAGGAGTGAGGGCGGACCCGTGCATGTGGACCAGCACACCCGTGTTTCTACAGGGAGCGGCATGTCACCAGTACATGCAGTGAAAAGGATAGCTGGGAAGTGAAGGTAGTTGGAAAAGGAGACCAGAAAATGTGGCCTCAGCTCCCTGCGATTGCTCCCACTGTAAAGGAATAGCTACAGGAAAACGTAGCCCAGAGGAACTATCCCCGTGGGGGCCGAGCAGGCCAGCACCCTAGCCGCGCTTCCTAGCTCCCTTGTGGTGAGGCCGGTCTCCCAACTCCATCGGCAGTGCAAGTTGCGGGCACGCTTGGCTATGAGGCTGAAGCCACCAGGCAGGACAGTCCTCTGGTTACACTTGCCCAGCGAGACCGCCAGCGTGGGGAGTAACGTCTCCCACGCCCAGATGAGAGGATGACTCGAGCAGAGGAGAGACGACAGAGCACTAGGCACGGCGGCTTGGCTGCGCCACCGCCGCTCGGTGACCGGAAACCAGGGACCACTGACAGATGATCGGCGCCCGCGGTGGTTAAACAAGCGCACTGGCACATATGCAGGTAGACCTTTTTTGTAGGGCTTACAAAGGGACGTACACACTCATGCACACCCAGCACACATGTACGCAACACAAACGCACGCAGCACGCCTGCATACAAACAGTATGCCTGCACGCACGCGGAACGCCGACCGCACGCAGCACGCCACCAGCACGCAGCCACGCCGTCCGCCGGCACGCACTGCCTGGCCCGCACGCAGCACGCCGTCTGCCGGCACGCAGAACCCCGCCCCC